TGTGGTGGTTGTCTTTAATGCAAAAACATTCAACACCCTCACCCTCAAATCTTTGATTAATAGGTTGGAGTCAGGATGGTTCTACCTCCAATGACTTCACAGATATCTTTTAATTAACTTTGGAGTTTAAAAAATATAAGCAACCACATACCATTGACTTTTTTGTACACCATGGTAAAAATAATCTTAAAAATCACAAATAAAAATGGAATGTAATTTATTCAATGTTAACATCTCTGATTGTAAATGCATTGATTTGGGTTAAACAAGAATCTTTCTTAAGAAATTGAAAATATAACTTGATTTTCCTGGCTAATAATTTAACGTGGGTCTTCTAGGCTATTGATTTAAATTGTAATTAGAAGGTATTTGATTTCACTCTAATCTTCCCATATACCTCAGCTATAATTCAGAGCTATTTATGCAGTCACCACACATGGTTACTTAAACGTTTCATGTGTGTATTTCTTCTCTCCCTAGTTATTGCAGAAAGTAGCATGGGGCCAAAATCCTATTGGGTGATTGAGAAAATTAAAGCATAGTGATGTCTAGAAAGAGGACTAGACTTAGGACCCAAGCCTCGTTTCTTCCTGTGAAAGGGCGATAACCTGTATTATTCTTGATACAAGAAAGCAATCTTAACTGGTAACATGGTTTGTTCTCCAAGAATATAGGGCAACTGCATGGGAGCTCTCAGGGAAGGGATTCTAATCAGAAATATCTTAAAGATTTCAGCTGCCTAATTTTTCCGACTTAACTTATCATTTTACCACTCAACTCACTGTTCTCTTGCTTGGGAGCTCTTTGATTTAACGATATTACAACACTACCATCAGAACCACTTCACACGTGTATCCTACTTCTCAGGTTACAAACCACTTTTGTGTCTCCCCATTTGATCTCACAACAGCCATACAGTTTACTATGAGTTATCATGATCTGCAATTTCATAGATGGGGGAATAGAGACTCAGGGCTTTGAGTTGCCTGTCCACTGCCTCACAAAGATGGTCCTGGAAACCAGGTCTCCCACTCTCAGTTCTATGTTGGTTCTGCTACGCTATATGGCCACTTGAGTCATATTTCTTCTCTGGGACTCACCAACTCCACTAGCCCCTTGATTCACATGAGAACTGAGTAGCATGAGAAGTCAACTAA